GCTGGCATTGAGCGGGGGTGATCAAAGGTGCTAAATGTTCACTTGCTGTGACATTTCTCACTCTTAGTTCTAGAACCCAAGAAGGAAAAAGGCTCCAGCTTTTATTGGATCAGATCTTGCCACTTGTTTAAGGTAGGAATGGTGTTCATTCAAATCCAGTATAATACCATTTCCTTTTTTTCCCAGAGAAAAAAACATCTGAACATTTAGAGGACTGTGCTTCTAACATATTAATTTACTAAAATGGCCACAACTTCAAACTTGAGTGTTTCTCTGAATCAATATTCTAACACTGAACTAAACTGAAAATAGTGAGAAATAATTAACTGGAGCTATTTGCTCATTACATCTTGTATTTAAAACTTATCTGGTCATATTGAGTTCCTTAGGGCAGAGTCTAAGTCTTATTTACCTTTGTATTCTTAGCACACAGAACTACGCTTGGCACAGCACAAACACTAAATAAATGCTTGAGATTTGGTAACTTGAATTCTTCTTTTCCATGGTATGAAGAATGGTTAAAAGCCACAGTAATTTAATGACCAGTAGAGGGCAATAAAGTAGAAATTTTATTTATTAAAAAAAAATTCACTGGAATCATTTTAAACTCATTTTCAGACCCAATGCTAGCCTGGAAATGCTTCTTCCAGAGTAGTATTGTGATTTCACTTTAATGCAGCTAAAAACCTCTTGTACCACATTAGGCTCCCCATCCCCATCCCGGTTGGGGATCCCTCCTTCCCCCACCACAACAGAGTATGCAGGGGAGGTGTGCTACAGGGTCAGATGGTGTGCATTGACTTATACACTACAGCTCTCTGTTTGTTTAATTCCTGGTCTAATCAAGATTATTTGACAGTGGATACATACCACTTAAAAGTCAGTCTGTAAGAGAACCACTCGGAAAGATGTGCAGTATGGCAGTAATTTTGGCTTTAAGCTTCATGTGGTAGAAAACTGCATATTCAGTAAGATACCAATTTTATTTAAAATAATCAGTGCAAATACTCTCATTTATGCATATAACTAATATCAGAAGAAAATGATTATTAAGAAGAAAGTGGTTAACAGTGAAATCGCAAGGGGTTTTTATCTTACACATACTTTCTTATATTTTTCATATTTTCACAGTGAATAGATATTTTCTCTAGATAAGAAAAAGTACATTACATAGCACCCCATCAATGTTTTAGAGATGAGGAAGGAAGGCATGAGTAATTGTTCTGAAACTAACTTCAGCTAAGCCTGACTTGTCTTCACCAAAATCTCCCCACAGTGAGTCTGGGGAAAGAAGATGGCCATGCAGGGAGTCGCAGGCCATTCCACTAACTCCTTTAACCCCTGTGCTCCAGTGGTCATAGGGCCACGTGTTATCTCATATACTCCTTGAACTATCTGGGAGCAGGCAAGTTACAACAGCTTTAAGAAGAGGCTTTTCTTCCACATTTTATATTTTGATATTGCATTTTTCAATCTCTACAGAGCTCTAAATCTTTTCCTATGTTATTTTTAGTCATTCCCACAGGGAGAAAAAAAGTCAATCAGGACTTTCTGGCATGTCAGCTTTTTATAAAGGGAATACAAAGCAGAGCTCCCAGCAAGCCTCATAAAACAGGATTTATGTGAGACCTTTCATCTACATCCATTTAAAATGTTCCCTGCTAGACAACTGAGAGGAGATGGGAATCATCATTTGAAAAGGCCTTACTTTAAGGACTGGATACAGTGGCTCAAATGTTGCTTCAGCTCTTCTTCCTTTTCATAGGACTCCAGTACACTATGTGCTTCATCATGGTGATAGCAGTAGATTTTATAAATATCTTCCATTGGCCCTTTAATCTGCAGGAATACTTCTCCTGATAAATGCAAAACAAAGGCAAAATGACAGCATCAGACAAAACTGGCACTTAGCGTGGTTATTTTCAATAATGTTAACTACTGTCAAAAAGTAGGATGGGACCCACTTTTTCCCCAGGTTATTCAGGAAGGGTGGAAAACATTGAGTGATTTTTTCCCCCATTTTCTTTCTTTTCTTTCCCTTTTCCTTCCCTCCCTGCTTTCCTTCTTTGCTCCCTCTCTTTTTCTGTCTTTTCTTCCTTTCTTTTATAAAGCAAAGTATGAACAAGTTATTAGAGACAGGCAGCAAAAGAAAGCTGGGTTTCTCAAAGGTGACCTTATTCACAAGGTTGATGTGCAGAATTGTGGTTAACAGTTGGAATTTAGAGTTGTGTGCATGGATTTGAATCAGGCTGTGCTACAGACTTGCACTGTGACTTGAGCAAGTTATTTTAACTCTCTAAACTTGATGACAACAATAGATTCAATTTCAGAGAGTTGTTATAAAAATTAAAAGAGATGGTATTTGTAAAGTTCAGAGTATAGTAAATACATATGAAATGCCCAAAATAAAGCAGGTTTCGTTAATTTATAAGAGATAAAGAAGGTGAATTTCAGGTGTTGGGTAAGTCATTTTTCAATATTTACTGCATTAATATTTCCTGAGACCCTCTGAAAGGCAAGCAATGGGGTTTAGAAAAATTAAATATTTCCTTCTATGTGATAGTAAAAAAAAAATAGATCATTATTTTAAAAATCAGTTTAGTACTGTGAACCAAGGTTATGATTGTGTCTTTATAAAGCAACTTAGGCTAATTTTATCCAGGCATTTAATGAATACTTTTTAATATTATGATAAAATTGGGTCTCTAACTGGTGGCTCAAGTAGATATTGGGCAACAGTTTGATTTGATCACACACTCCATTTACTTAAAGATGAGTATTGTGCATTCACTACCTAACCCAGAGCTTTATTAAATTCTTTGGCAGATACCCAAGAAATACATGACAGAGTCACCTCTCAAAACATTGCAAATTTGAGATTGATAATGATTTGGTGGCTGAATTAATAGGGATGGTTTAATAGATTGACAGTGATCTGGACCTATTATAGTTAACAGGAGTAAGTGATTCTTTCCACAGAAATAAAAGTGCCCTTAGTATTTTCAACATGTTTTTCACACATTAACTTCTTACTTGCATGAAGAGAGAAGAGGTTATTTATCTATATTAATTAAGGATGAATAAATCTGAGTTTGAAACAAATAAACTATTTTCTCCAAGTCCTGTCTAGAGGTGGAAAGGCAGGATAAGGGGCCATATTCTTATTTTTTCCTTGAAGTTGAGCACATAACTCCCATCCCCAACGCAGTTCAGAGCTTTGCTGAACACTGTATTGGGTGATGCACTTGGAAAGAAGGGTAAACTAGAAATCAGAAACAATTTAGGGTTTATGTGGGGAATTTGAGAATGACTTTTTAAAATTTCAGTAGCTTTTAGGGTACAAGTGGTTTTTGGTTACATGGATGAATTATACAATCGGAGAATGACTTTTTAAATAATTGAGTCTTAGTGCCTTCATTTTATTTGTAAAATGAAAATGATAGAAGCCATTGAGACTCATTTGAGAGTGAAATGGGATGACAGATATAAAAAATGCCCACCACTGACTAGTTGTCAAGAATTGTCATTTGTCTCTTAAGGTTGCTTAAGTTTGCTTTACTATCTCTAGAATTAAAACACTAGCACTTTTAAAGTATCACATTCTTTTCTAATTTATATCCAGCCAATAAAAGATTTTTCCTTTCCATTATGTGGGATTTTCCTGTGATTATATGATTATAGTTAGACTCTGAGGTAATGTGAAATAATGTGCACACACGCAAGTGTGTGTGTGTTTGTGTGCATGTGTGGGTGTTTTAAGGTTTTTGTTTGTTTTAGTAGTGCTTTTTGGGGGCCTGTAAGAAAAGCAATGACTGAGCATCTTAAGAGCTGAAGGATACAAGATTCTTATTTTGTTTCTGATATTTTACAGAGTTCATTCTTCTGCTAGTGTAGTTCATATACATTTGTTCTTCAAGACTAATAACAGCACAAACAGTAAGAGATAGCGAGTAGAGGAAAGAAAACAAAATAAGACAGTGATTGAATTTAGGGTTGGGCATAAGGTGAAGGGAGCCCCTGAGTAGCAGAACCAGGTAGCAAATGGGAACTAGTGGCTTTGGCTGGGAGGTCCCAGAAATGGGACTGGTGACAGGCTTAGATCACAGACTTAGATGGATTCTCGGCAGCAACTGGACAACAGTGGACATGCATAGACACAGCCCAACACAAGATGAAGCTGTAAATAAGTATGCTCACAACAAAGAAGCTAACAGCAGAGACCAGAAAAGGAAAGAAATAAGGACAATCTCATGAATCCACAAAGTGATCAAATCAGAAAGTCAAAAAACAAAGAAGAACAAAAATACTTATTTTTATACACAAAGAACCCATTAAATGCAAATTATCTTGCATTTTCTTTAACAGGAGTGGTCTAGTTTGAAAGAATTTATAGCTCTTCCCTTAACAGAAGAATCGTTTTTTTATTCTTTTCCAATTAAAATTCTGTTGAGGCTCTAATAATAATTATTAAAGTTAAAAGATATTTAGTACTCTAATTGAAAGTCATTTATTCACCCAAAGACCAGGTACAACACTGGCAGGCAGAATATTTTATTCCCCTCCCAGCCCTAGCAATGTATTCTGCTTCATAATAGTGCAGATGAAGCAGTGTGTCTTGCAGCAAAAAGTGATTCTGTTTCCACGGTAACATAACTCTCGGCTGCATTTCTTTAGTGGTGAAGGACAACTGCTCTGTCTAATGTATGTGGGTTTGAGGGGATGATTAGTAGCAGAGAAGGGACTAAGCCAACTCCATTGAAGGTAATTTCACTTGTGGCTGCCTATCACAAAGGCACCAGAATCCTATAAAATAAATAAAACTAGTGTGTTCTTCTTTTTAAAAATTCTACAACCCAAGAATTTCTGCATTGACATCCCCAAAAAGCAATTGCCATGCCAAGGAGAAAAAAAATGCACCATTTTAAATCTCTTTAGTTATCTTCATCATAAACAACTTCCCAAAATATTGATATTATGTCTGGATATCATTACTCATATATTGTAATGTGTTCCCTTTACTGATATGAATAAACGTATACTGCTCTTTCTGTTTATTTCATGTGCAGCCCAACATGTGCCATACCAAACCAGTTGGCTCTTATAGTATTGTAATCCTGCTCCAAGATGAATTTCTTCTGCAGGTAAGTAAACCAGGGTAAAGTCAATGATTTTCAAGGGATCTCCTTGTCCTGGGTTTTGTTTAGGAAAATAGCATAAAAGGGAAGAAGTAGTTGTATTCTTTAGTTCATCCTTTTTTGAAAATTTACTGGATGATCATCATGCATGAAACACTTTAGTAGGTCCTGTAGATACAAAGAACCAACTCTTCCTTCAAGGAACTTATACAGGATGCCAAGGAAGAGAGAGGAGACTGAACTGCCATTTACCACACTATGTGAAAAGTAATAAAGTACAGAGGGGCAACTATTCAGCCCTTGGGGAGCTTTGATCAATGCTCATAACAGCATGCCCTTGAAATAGGACCTCTGAGTGAGTGCAAAAAGCCAGGAGATAGGTGTTGGGGATAAGGTCTGTTCAGAAGTTTGGAATGCTCTCGTATAGCAGGATGGGACCACAGCACCTTGTGGAGCAGAGCTGCCAGACAGCTCTAGAACACATGTCTTCAGACTTTTACACAGAGGGTAGAGATGGCCCACTCTCACGTCTGTGAGGAAGTTCCAGAAGGGACTGTAATGTGGGCTGGGGCCAGATGATGAAGGACCTTGTGCAACATTAAGGAGACGGAACTTTCACCTGAAAGTGATGGGGAAGCATCAATAGATTTTAGGCAACTGACCAGATTGCGTTATAGAAAGACAATTCTGGTAGTTATTCACATGAAAGATAAAATTTGGGGGAGGAGTTGGTGAGAATAAAGAAGATAAACAAATTGAAAGCCTTCTATAAAGCAAAGTAAATAAACAATGAGGGGCGAAAACAGAAAGTTATTATAGTTAAGAGAGAGAGCACTAGAATCAACTGCCTGGGTTCAAATCCCAGTTTTACCATTAATTGATATGTGACAGCTGGGAAAGTTACTTATCTGTTCCTTAATTTCCTCATCTTTAAAATGGAAATAATAATAGTAGGGTTGTTTGAAGATTAAATGAGTGAAAATATGTAATATATTTGCGTCAGTTGCTGGCACATGCAAATGCTCAATAGATGTTAGCTATAAATAAAGCAAAACAAAGAGGATGCAGAAGAAAGGGGGAAAAATGGACATCAAACACGTGTGAGAGATGATTCCAGGCATATGCAAGAACTGTGGTTTAAGTAATCACGTGAGTAGACACTGACGGCATAACAGAGTTTAACGGAAAAGATGATGAGTTTAATTTTGGATGTATTGAGTTTGAGTTGTTTATTGTATGTTCAAGTAGAGAAGCCGTTTGTGAAATTGAATGTATGAATCTGGGATTTAGGAAAATAATATCTTGGACAGAGATGTAGGTTTCTAAAAATTGGGTAGTAGAAGGCACAAATTTATATGGTCATGCAAGAAATTTCAAAGAATGAGAAGAAAAAAAGTGCTTGAGGACCAGATGCTGGCCAACACTAACATTGAGGGCAGTATAGGAGCAAAGGAGACCACAGAGAAGCCTAAGAAGGCATAGCCACAAAGAAGAATCAGCATGAGGAGAGACAAGAACAAAAAGTGAGAAATACTGCCAAGACTGAATAAGTCTGTGGGTTTATGGGGACAGAGCTTGCTGGTTGTCTCCCCACCATCATCATCCGCTTCTAAAGAAATAAAAGGTTTTTTAGCTGCCCCAATTGAAATGGCATTTCCCAGCCTCCCATGTAATTGGTGTGGCCATGTAATTAAAGCCCACAATGGGATGTAAATGAAAGTGTCCCATGACAGTACCCAGGAACTTTCCTGAAGAGGCAGGTGGCTGAGGCTTTACACCATCTTCATCCTTGTCTCTGTTTGCTACCTAGGGTTCGGATACTATTAATACCTTTACCTTGTCCAAGAAGATCACAGCCACCTCTTGGTAAGTGGAGCTGTGAGCTGGGAGGAGCTTGCATCCTAGAGCACCCTGTGGAGCAGAGCTTCCATACAGCTCTAGAACACACGCCTTCAGACTTTCACACAGAGAGAAATCAACATCTGTCTTATTATGCTAGTAATGCTTTGTTTTTGTTTTCTGTTTCTCCCAGCTGAACTTAATTCTAATCAACACCCTGTGTTTTGTCTTGTTTTCTCTTTGACAGGAAAATATTTTGGGAGAAATACTGATGAGTTAAAGGCCCCCTCTATCCCACCCATTACATTTCATTTAAAAATTCTGTGAAAATATGACATGAACTGTTAGTTATGGAGGAGTTAAAGTTGGATGTTGCTTGTGTTAACAACAATAACAAAAAACTACGCCATAGGTTCAACCTAAAAACGAACCAAGATGATGTTTTGAAAAATAATTTTAGTTGAAATCTCATGTATAAATTAAGGCCTGAGGAATATCCCAAAAGAAAATTATCTGTGGTTCTAAATAAAACTCGTCAAGGCGGAGTATTTAGAACGAGGAGAAGGGGGTGGTATGCATAGGGTAGAGATGGCCCACTCTGGGTGTAATAATACAGGCCTCTGACTGTTGTTTCCCTGAGTGACACACACAGCTTAGTGAAAGCGCCATGACCTGCCATCCCCAGTGAAAGAGCTTTCCTGGCAGCATTCACCCCCTGTGCCAGGGTTGCTCCCCATGGTCTGCTTATCCTCCTTGAGTGGGAGCCCAGCTTGACTAAACAAGGCAGTAAGTAGGTTCGCCAGCCCAAATGCCAGATCATCTGAATACTTTCTCCCTTTCTTTCCTAGCCTCATTCTGTTCTCCAGGGGAGTATAAAATGAGAGGGGAAGTGAGAAGAAAGAAACTGAGAGAGTAAATGCTGCTTAAGAAGCCACACTCCCTGACCTTCAGTCTCATTTAGCTCCTAGGTAGCCTGGGGAATAAAACTGACTGCTGAGGATATACCCAAGAGACCCTGGCTAGGATTGTAAAATTCAAACCAAATACAGGGGGCAGGTGGGACATGCAGCCTTGGGATTAAAACAAGGGTATCCCTTGAGCATCAATTTTATTAAGATATTTGAAGAAAAAAACCATTGGTTTCCTAGAACAATAGACTGGAAAACTGATACAATTCTTATGACAAAATGAGACTTCCAAGTTATTTCATGCCTGTGGTTCTAGCTTCAGGACATAACTCCACGTTTCCTGGGGCTTATGATATTTCTCTTTTGATATCAGGAATATTTTGGTAAATTTTTTTCTGAAGCACTAGAGTAAGATAAGTTCAGAAAAAATGTGTTCATTGGATTTGACAATTCTGAGGTCCCTGGTGATGTGGTAATAGCATTTTTAGAGAGTTGGATTTAGGAGGGAATGACAGATGAGGAAGTAGGCCAAATAAAAAGAGCTGGATCCTAAAGAGAGAAACAGATAAAAGAAAGGAGCAGAGTGGAGGATGAGGACCTGTCATGATCATCTCTGTGTGCAGTGCAAGGGAGGACAGTGTCATAATTGTGGTGGGGTTCTCAAAGAAGGGACTGCCCTGAAGCTAAGGTGGCATCCACCCAGCACATTTGGCCATGGGAGGTGGCCAGCAGCTGAGCAGGACAAACTTGGGGATGCTAGTGGGCTGTGGAGTGGGTCAATGTTTGGAGAGGAAAAAGCTCTGGCCCGTATTTGGAAGAGCTAGAGTCCCTTCTGATTGTGTCCAGAGTTACCAATGTAAATTGGGCAAATTGCTCTTACTGTTTTTATCTCAGTAATGGAATAGATGCTCTTTAAATATTAGTCTAGCTCTAACATTTAAGAATACAGCTATATATTTTGATGACAGCTCACGGTTTCTTCCTGAATCTCGTTGACTCCCTAGACACTTAACTCCAGGTCAAGATTCTTTAACAACTGGCATCTTGAGGCAACACTGGTTCTCTGAGAAAGTGAAGGTTTTTGCTGGCTGGATCAGAAAAAGGTATAGTAACTTTTTTTAAATGTAAGATTGATAACACTGAGGAATACCCTGTCTTATACCAATCATGATTTTTAATTTCTCTCATTTTAGTAAATACCACTCTTGAGAAAGCTTGCCTCTGCTGTAGCTAGTTGCTCTATATTACCTAGCAACCTCTGAAAATGACATTGACACCTTACAATGACATTGACCACAGGCAGACTCAGTGATGACAATAACAACAATCGTCTCCTGGTCCCTCTGTGTGCCAGCCAGTGCACTGAACACTTACTATTATCTCTAATTTCATCCATTCAGTAAACAGTTTTAAGGACAATGTTCTGGATGCTGGTGACACAATGGTCACAAAACAGACAAGAATTCCTCCTCTCATGGAACTTACATTCTGGAGGGTTATGCTCTATGTTTGGTATTTTCCTGCCATGGGTGTCTTGTTATTCCCATTGAAAGGATGAACAAATGTATGTGGAAACCATTGCTATTGACTTATCTGTTCTTCCTTCTTCCAAACCCATAGAATTTAGACTGGTAACACACCCAGTTAAAAATATTCACCTTTCCCCAAATCTCTGGTATTTAGATGGCCAAGTGTGTGTGCAAAGGTGTTTGTGTGTATATATATGTGAAATGAAATAACACGTGTGCAAAACAGAATGAGATATATCTAGAAGTCACTGGGAAAGGGTTATGTTCCCCCCAAATCAAAAAAGCCTTCTGAGGAGGTGGTTTTGCTTCACTGTCTTTAGGAAGCAATGCCTGGAAATGGAGTAGCCATCTGGGGGATGGTGTCAAAAGCCACATGCTGAGCATTGTGAAGGGAAGAGCATCAAGGAGCAGCAAGCAATTGCACTAGTCTTGGACTCATGAGTCACAGATTTCTTGTTACATGAGAAAAATAAGCCCCTTTCTGGTTAAACTCTTTTGGCCAGGTTTCTATTCCAGACAGGCAAACCCAATTCTCACTGACCCAAGTGACTTGCTCATAGCCATTGAGTTAGTGATGACAGCCAGGATTAAGACACAGATCTGTTTCATTTTAAAAGCCATTCTCAGGTTTGTCAAAGGTGAACTGCGGAGAGATAGCATGGGGAGAAACGCCAGATATAGGTGATGGGGAGGAAGGCAGCATGTCACACTGCCATGTGTGTACCTATGCAACAATCTTGCATGTTCTTCACATGTACCCAAAAACCTAAAATGCAATAAAAATAATTTTTTAAAAGCCATTTTCTTTCCAGGCTGTTGGGTACCCTCAAGGTTTGTTACTCTGTCTATGTACTTCTCATTTTAGTTTCCTGGAGGCTAGGAAAGTGTTCAGGAATTCACAGATTCTTACATTCCTTCCCGAGATTTAAAAATTTATTTCTATGTGTATCCTGTGCAATATTTGACTTTTCACAGGTCCATTCAAATGTGACCTCAACTCTCCAATACTCCTGGCACAGCTCAGCCACTGACTTCCACTGGCAGGTTCCATCAGCATAGCATCATAGAACTTACCATTCTCCTCAGAAATCAGAACTGTGAGACTTTTTACTAAGCCACCTTTATTTTATTTTTATTATAAGGAGTAAGTTAGCAGCACTGGGACCCATATTCACCCCACTCAAGAGATTGGAAGTCCAACCATCACCCCTCCCCCCCCATATTACAGCCTGGTACCTGCTTCCTCCTGATTTTTCTTTCTTGTGAGAGTTGATGTATCCTTGATCCTGAAAACCCCATTCCCCCATCATCATTTTCTCTGAAGCTGACAGCTTTTCTGTTACTTATAACACTTGCATTCTGATCTTTCAGCTGTTGGACCTGGGTGTCCCCCAAACCTCCACAATGACCCCACACATTCAAGCATGCAGGTCTAGGACCCTCCCAACCTATCTCAGTTGGTCAGAGTTAACCAGGTCAAGCCTATCTGTGTCCTGAGTAAAACATACACACACTTACACTCAATAATAATACTGAAAAACTCATTTAAGTGAGCGCTGCTGTAGTATCTCCCACACAGCACTATGATATGAATTGTCAGCAACTAATACTCTTCTCACAAACTCACTGCTAAAAGCACAGATTCCTACATCAGGGACCTACAAGAGACATTCTTTAGGAGAACAAAGCACTGCTAGAGAGCAACAGTACATCACCTACTACACCTTCAAAGAACAGAATGCTCTAAATTCTTTCTCTCCAAGGACAGAATCTCCCTCAGGAAAATGCATATGAGAAATCTCAATTCCTTTATCAAAAGCCTCTTTCAGGCTGGTTCTCAGCACAATATGCATGAGGTAAGCAAGTAAAGTAGATTCAAGCATGTTCATGACAGTCTTCTTTTAATACTTTGAAACATTATAATATGCAAACACATATAAGAGGACAATTGCTGTTGGGTTGTTTATTGCTATGTAACAAACCATCCCAATTCTTGGTGTCTTGAAACAACAGCCATTTTTATTTTCTCTCACAATTTTGTAGATTAACTGGTCTCAGCTCTATGGTTCTTCTGCTTCACTTGACATCCACTCGATCTGAGTCATCTAAGGGCTTATCCGGATTATAATGTCCAAGATGACTAATTTCACAAATCTAGTGCCTTGGCAGGAACAGTTGGAGGGCTGCCCTCTGCTGGGATGCTGGGATAGCAGTGCCACTTTCTCACTCTACATAGTCTCATCTGCTCATCTGCGCTCTCTCTCTGATGCTTCCAGTAAGGTAACTCGACTTTTTAAACGGCAGGCTTCCAAAATCATGCAAGTAGAAATTGTCAGGCTTTCCTAAGGCTTGGGCCCAGTTACTGATACGGTGTCATTTCCACTGCATTGTAATAATGAATCAGAGGGCCAGTCCAGAGTCAATATGACTCTAGACTATATTGCAGTGTGAACTAGGAGGCATGGTCTATTGAGGGCCATCTTTGGAGACTAGTTACTGCCGTTCCTGTTCACTCTACCAAATGTGGAAATGACACTTGATATGTTAAATCTCCCTTTAGAAGAAAATACGTCACTATTTTAGGCCCATGAGTCATCTAGATGCATAGATATAGGGAGCATCTAGAAATCAAACAAATCTAGCAAATCTGACTTGCTTGAAAAACATGATCAGGACCTCTGAGAAAGTCACATTTTATTCACTTGTTACATACAGAAGAAATCAAGCTTTTGAAATAAATGGGTAAATCTAATATTTGTGGGATAATTTATAACATCAGCTATTGGATATTAATTAGGGATAGGCACTGGGCTATCATTCTTTACATGTAATTTTGTCAAATCTTCATAAAAACCATATGGGATAAGTATTATTCTCTCCAGTTTCCAGATGAAAAATTGAAGTTCAATGAGGTTTGTGACTAGCCTAAGATCACAAACCTAGCAACAGGACAAGCCAAGATATAACTCAGGTCAACCTGATATTGAAACCCATGTGTTCTTAAACACTACACTGTCATCTACATGGAAACAAGAGCCACATCCCATACTCCCATCTATAATTTCCTATCTGGACACCATGCCGAAGTCAAGATTTTAAAATCCACTTTGTAACTTGGCATGACAGTACAGACAGTTTCCTCAGAGCTCTCAGATCTGCAAGCATATGCCTCTGTGTTTAAACTGAACCTTATCCAAACCCCAAGGTTATAATTGAGTAAAAATTTCTTCCTAGGTTATCTAAGTATCAGGAAAATTCTCCCTTTGGCACTCCAGCTGTGAATCACAAACTCTAATTCATGCCATCTAAGCACAAATAAATGGGACACCTGTGGTTTTCATTTGTGGTAACATAATTTTGGAAACATCTCACGAACAATCAGCTTATCCCATAAAATGTAAGTGCTTTGGTAAAAGATTTAGTGATGGAAAAATTGCTAGTGAGCTTGTATTGATATATCTACAACGTTTGGCTCAGAGAGGCCTTGTCGGCACTGTGTTCCAGTCACACAGGGCTGCTGCTGTCTGTTTTAAGAATTTCCTGTACCCTTGTTTTGAGGCCTTTACCCTATTCCTCATTTAGAAAGCCTTTTGCATCCAATTTCCACCTTTCTAAATCCTTCAAGTCCAAGCTCAGATCTTTCCAAATCAAGTTTTCCCTCACCATTTGAGTTGAAATAAATTAATCTCTCATCTGGTAATCTGTATTAGTTAGCAATTACCACAGGAAAAAAGAATCACTCCAAAATGTAAAAGCTTAAGACAACAACTGTTCATTTGCTCATAATTGTATGGGTCAATAACTGGGCAGAGTTTAACTGGCATTGACGGGGTTTACTTCTGTGTTTCCATCAGTTGGTGGACTGGCTGGGGGCCAACTGGCCAGCTGACAAGGACCTTACACTCAAGCCTGAGGCCTTGGCTGTGTTGCTTGGAATGGCTGGGCAGTTTGGGCCTCTGTCTTCACAAGCAGAGAGCAAAAGTCATAATGTTGTTGTAGAGCACCATTTTGCCCCATTTCATTGATCAAAGCAAGTCATAAGGCTGGCCCAGATACCAAGGGTAAGGATGATAAAATTAGACTCCAACAGATTCTTTTTCAAATATGGCCTCATTGTCTTGATTCAAAAAAAAAATTCTGTAATTTTCTTCGAAGTTGGAATTCTAGGATTAGTGAACCTGACATTATAAACATCTTCAATTGATTTTTTCTACAAATCATGTTTTTCAATTTTTATTTTGAACTAATCTTTGATAGAAAAGTTGAAAAAAAATAGTGCAGATAATTTTCAAATACTCTTTACCCAGCTTCATCAACATTAACATCTTACATAATCAAAATATGATTGTCAGAAGAGGAAAATCAACTTTGGTGCAATACAATTAACAAAACTAAATACTTTCCAGGAATTTCAACACTAATGCTCTTTTACTGTTTTAGACTCTATCCATGCTTCCACTAGCATTTATTTGTTACTCTGCCTGAGTTTCCTACAGTCTGTAGCAGTTCCTGAGTCTTCCCATATCTTTTAGACCTTGACACTTCAGAATAGTTTTGCTGTTGTTGTTGTTGTTTCTGAGACAGAGTCTTGTTCTGTTACCAGGCACCAGGCTGGAGTGCAGTGACGCAATCTCAGCTCACTGCAACCTTCGCCTCCCAGGTTCAAGCAATTCTCCTGCCTCAGCCTCCTGAGTAGCTGGGACCACAGGTGCGTGCCACCATGCCCAGCTAATTTTTGTATTTTTTAGTAGAGATGGGGTTTCACCATGGTCTCAATCTCTTGACCTCATGATCCACACACCTCGGCCTCCCAAAGTGCTGGGATTACAGGCGTGAGCCACCGCGCTCAGCCCAGAATAGTTTTGATTAGTTCCTTTGTCAAATGCCCCACATTTGAGTTTATCTGATGTTATCTAGTATTTTCTCATGACTGGTCATGATTACATACGCTTTGGGTAAAAATACCACAGATACAATGTTCCCTCAGTGCATAAGGTTCATAATGTGAATATGTGTTATTTCCTGGTGGTGTTGATCTTGATCTCTAGATAAAGGTGACCCCTGCCGTGTTTCTCAATTTAAAGCTACCATCTTTCCCTTTGCGGTTAATAATTACTTGAGGAGACATTTCATCACAAAGAATTGAATTTAAACTGTCTGTGGACGAAATCTTTTTGAGTGGGCTGGCTTTATTGCTGGGTCATTTCTTTCATTATATTTCATCTATATGACCAGCTTTGCTTATTAAACTTGGGTTCTCTATAAATATTAAACAAGACCAGTTTCATGCCATTTTTATAACTCTAGCAAATAAAAGGTAACAAAGACCTAATCAGTAAAGACATAAGTTGTTTGTGTATAGTCTATGTTTGTGGAAGTCAAAGAAAGGATCTATATTAAACAAGTGGCTACTTGTGGGCAAGACAGTGGCATTGGAGGGATATATGAAAGAAACTTACTGTTACTCTATGTGATCCTGAATTGTTTTAGTATTTTTGTAATGAGAATATATTGGGAATTATAAATGTGAAATAGAGAAATAATTCTAAAAAGCTTTTAGCCTACATGGCACTGTTTGTATGATGTCTTAGATGTGCAAACTGCCTTCAGGGAGTTCATAGCACATATTCTCTTGGAAATTCCCAAGAAATGGAGGAATAAAAATTTGCTTCAATACTTTTTGAATTATGTTTTCTGTAGTTATTTTTTAAAATCTTACCAGGGTAAGAAAATAAATATATCTGACCGAGAGTAAAAATGTATTTGGAAGGCAAATAATATAGAAAAAAAGAGAAAGCATGAAAAAAGTAGAACTTGTGTAAATTTTTAATAATTTACATTCCTTTAATAGTTTTACATTTCTCATGTAAGAAATTTATTACCTAAAAAAATTAATTGATTCATGGGCATAAGATCTAAAAACACATTGTAATGAAAATCAGCAACGCTCTTAGCATATTTAAATAATTAATTCTTTAAAGATCAAGTAAATGTTAGCCATTTTAAAAATTACAGAACATCTGGAAAGCAAAGAGATTGAACAATTGGAAATTAAAAAGGAAATGGTATGTTTTGTGCCACTGAGGGACTTCAGCAAATGGATACAAACCCATTTGAAAATAAATACAGAATCTGTATAATTAAAATGAGCCCAAAGATGGGTTTAGCATTTATATATCTCCTGGGAAGCATGGCGAGTCCGGAGTATAAAACCAAAGCAAAGGGAGGCTATTAAAAAATTATTTCCTGTTGTATTGTAGAACTCGAGAAGGGAATAAACATACCAATTACTTGCATGGCTGGTTCCACGTCTGTTGTGGCCTCTTCCAACAATGACAGCAGCTTGGCTGATATCTGATGCACGGACTCAATGTTGCTAAACAAGCCATCCACATCCAGCCTATCAATCTGAAGAAACAAAAAACATTGAGCTCATAGAGAAGCACTGTATTTAGGATATTTCTCCTGATAACAGTAAGCATTTTAAATGCCAGCCAATGCTGCCTCCATTAACGGTTTCTGTAAACATTCTTATTTAGGATTCTAGAGTGCAGTTTTTTTTTTTTTTTAATCCAGGAAATCAGGATGATACATTTGTTACTTCTTTTAAAAAATTTTTGAATATGTTTTGAGTTGATTGTACATCTATATATTCCTATATAAACCAGAATAGGAAGATTTAGGCCTAATTGGTATTTTTATTAACTGCCCTCTATAAGGGTATGTACTAGTGTGTAAGGATTTAGAATATTTTACTGCCTATACAGCAGAAGTCAGACCTTACCCAAGGCAAGTAACTATTTTCAAAGCTGTTTTTAAACCACAGATGTTTAAAAAGTGATGACAAATAGTTGTGCTGGGATTCTTCTTCTTTTGCTTGATACAAATATAAATGGAAATCTTCATTAAATATATACTACGAATCAAGGATTCATCATATTTTGTTATTTCATGCACACCCTTAACAAACAGTGTACTTATTCTTAGATCTTATAGTGGGTGTTTATAATCATTTATTTATTCATTTAACCACCCTTTCATCAAATATTTTCTGAGAAGCTTTTATGTACCAAGAATTGCAATAGAAGCCAGACTGTGTCATATGTAGTGGTTGATTAACAGAGGGATGGCCGACTATTCTCAGCTATCTGAATATGGTGAGATATGTGTTCTGACTCTGATGAATCTTATTTGAATTCATTCCCTTGAGTTTCAGTTGGATATCCTTTCATAATCTAACAGTGAATGGTCAGGCCAAGCCATACTGGGGCAGGCTCTACTAGGCTACATCAGGGAACAGGAGTAGATGCCTTTTACTCATAACTTATTGTGAATGTGGTCATAGGTAGATAATTAATTCATCAATAATCAATTCATTGAGGAGTAGCACAAGTGAAAAGCAGAGTTGCTGGTATAAAACCAGGTCAGTAAAGTTAGGAGCATGAAAGAGAGAGAGAATCCAATTAAAGAAAATGTGCCAAGAAATTAGGGGAATTAGGAACAACGGATATAAGAAGTAAACCTAGAGAAATTCTGCAGATGAAGGCCAACGACTACAGCTTTTTTCCATGATTTCAGAATCAGTTCTTTAGGTGTGTGCAGGGTTTATTTAAAGGGAAGGAAGAAGGCAATCTGCTCATCTTTTTTATCCCATTCCTTTCTGACGTTGTCCCATCTACTGTGCTCCATATTGGACACCAATATTATTTTGGTAAGGATATTCTGTCACTGAACTTGGAAGCATGACTTCACATTGCACCTTTTCAAAATGCAGTGACTATGTCAGTTAGTTCTTATGCAATATGGTCTTGCTGTATACAAGTCTTTCAACCATATTAGGAAATTCCTCACTTTCCCATCATTCATCCTGTCCTCAAGATAATTCACAACCTCATCTGTAATCAAATTTATAAGATTATATGCAGTGGTTTATTTCAATATAGGATTAGACAACTTTTGAAAACTAGTTTTATGTATTCTGAAATTTCTTGTAATTAATTATTACATTGCAATCATTATTAGTTCTTATGGTCTTTAATCCAGTGTCACAAAATGTTCCTTAACTGAACACTCACTTTAATAGGAGATGACACATGTGGTTCTTTTGCTTGTAATCTAGAGAGGTTCAAGACTTTCAATTTCTATATTAGAAAATATATTTAATATTACAGAAAATATTTAAAAGGCATGTAACAGTTTTATGGATTTTCTCTTATTATTTAATAACAAATTATTATTAACTACTTAACATGAAATTACATTTACTAATGCTTTATTATTATCAGTGGCTCAAATGTCATATAGCTCTGAGTACCACTGATTTCACACACTGCTTATCCTAAAGAATTGCCTTATGTGTTGAGTAATAATTAAATCCACAATGGTATAACTTTGAATAATGCAAGATGTTTTCCAAAAGTTGTCTATGAATTAAATTTTTATAGATTGGTTCATTTCAAATTTACTAATTGTGTATTTTTTTAAATCATTTTTGAAATAAATCCTTCTAATATATGAAATTTTAGCCCCTGATTTACTTGCTTTATAAGATAAACTATCAGTAGTAAATCATAGTGTATCCCTGTTATTATTTCATTTTGTTGTGGAAACTTTATTCTGAGAAACTTGAAGTATTTCATGTTTATTATTTCATACATGACTCCAACTTCTTTGTAATGAATGAACCATCTTGAAGATAAGGAAAATAATGCAGAGCAAAGAGAGGAGCTGTGCTCAAACTTAAGCAAGAAGTTCAGGGTAGAACTGGATTCAAAAATTGACCTTTTCATTCTGTGCCTTCATCCATTACCAGCAAATATTAATAATAGAGTACTTTGCTATCTCTGTTTAGATTTTTTTTGTTTGTTCCTGAGTTTTTCACAAAGTTGACGCTCCTACAATTTATTTCCCAAGGTCAGTATCCTGTATATCTGTTTAATTTAGATTACAAATCCATTTAGCAATGATCTAATTCTACATTTTATCTATAATCTTAGCTCAGTGCAACAAATACTAAATAACAAAAACATAGATTTTAATTCCACTTCTTCCTGAAGGACAGAAAGGATTAAAACATCAATTGGCCTGATTTCAAACACCCATATCACCATGAGCCCATGGGGATTCTATGAATCATAAAATGAATTCATAAACAGTCACT